AACTCTTGTTAATAATGTATTATAAAATATATCCTAATTAGTTAACATCTTAATTATATATTTTTACAGTACGATCTAATTTAAAATAATAAAATAAAATTATTCTATATTGGGTTGGAAAGTAAATAATTGCGGAATTTGTCGATAGGTGGCTTTTTATTATAAAATCAGCAATGACTTAGTTGCCCTTCTAATATTAACCTTTTGAGTGTTGAATATTTTTATGTAAAATGTTTTGTAGGAACAGAATAATTTATTATTAACCAGATTATAATAATATATTATAATAATTAATTGAGAAGTTCTCGTTGCTGAATATAATTTTATTAATTTAATATAGATATTACATTATTTTACATTAATATTAACAAACACGTATATATACTTCAAACGATAAGGTTAATAATTTTTACCAAACGCATATATGCGTCTATAGCACTCTAAGGGTTAATCGATTGCATTCATTAGTTTCTTTTTGTTTTGTATAATGGGGAAACATGTTTCATGAGAATGATTAAAATAAATCATTTTTTGCTTCAAGTTTCTAATATTTAATTAGATAAGCATCATTCTAATAAAACTTAACCTCAAATAATTATTGTTTTTTTTTTTTTTTTAAACAGAATAATTCATCTTAATGATATCGGATTTTAAATTTTCTTTTTATTTTTCTTTTTTATTTTCTTTCAAATGAGTATAATAAAAATTTGTGACACGTGCTAGAGCAGGTTACTTGAAAGAAAAAAATTACGTGGTAGTATAAAAGAAACGTTAGAGATAATCTCTCTTCTCTCCTATCATCATCATCATCATCATCATCATCCACCAAGAAAAGAAGGACTTACTATCTATCCAACGTGTTCGCATTTTCCTCGAACAGAAAAACTCGCTTCTTGGTTTAACGAGAAACGCTACGCTGATTGCAATTAATTGTGCAACGTGAGTTACTGCGGATACTGAAAGGAGAGTAGTAGTAGTAGTAGTAGTAGTAGTAAGTAGTAGTAATAGTAGAGAATAAACAGAAAGTATGTGCGTGTAGTTCTATGTAAGAATTTTTTTTTATCATAATGTGTAACCATATGTAAGTGAAATAAATAAGTTTGCTGGTAAGTTTTTAAATGTATGAGAAAAACAATGTATGTGTGAGAAAGAATGTGTATAAGTGAATGAGTAAGTAAGTGAGTGAGTGAGTGAGTGAGTGAATTAGTATTTTACATGAGTGTATGAGAAAATATGTGTAAATGAGTGAGTGAAGCAATGTTTGAGTGTTTGTGTAAATGAGTGAGTGAATAAGTGTTTGAGTGTGTGGTAAAATGTATTTGAGTGTTGAGTGAGTGAGTGTGTGAGAAATTATATGTAAATGAGTGAGTGAAGCAATGTTTGAGTGTGTGTGAAAATGGTGTAAATGAGTGAGTGAATAAGTGTTTGAATGTGTGGTAAAATGTATTTGAGTGTTGAGTGAGTGAGTGAGTGAGTGAGTGAAAGAGAAAATGTATGTGAAAGAATATATGTGAGTATGTGAATATATGTATGAGAATGTGTATGAGTTAATGTACAATATGTGAGAGAATATGTGTGATGTGAGTATGTGTAAGTAAAGAAGTATAGCCACACATACTTCACACACATCATGCAAATGTTCTTCTAGTCTTTCTTGTCCTAACTTCTCCCCCCACCCTCCACGTCATCCCCTATCATCTTCTTCTTTTATCACTACCACCATCACCATCACCATCACCTAGTCGTTATTATATCATGGTTGCATTGAAAAAGAATCTTCGTGACAAATGAACATTTTGAACCTCCCCATTTCGTTCATTTTCCAATTCTTATTCAACATTTGGTTCTTTCTTTTTTTTTTGGTTACATTCAACGTAGTAGACAACGTGGTAGAAACAAGAATAATCGATGGACTTATTAAAGTAGGAGAGAAGGTTTGTGGAAAGAGGGTGGTGGTTAGGTGTGGGAAAGGGTTGAGGTTGGGTTGACTCTTGTATAACGCGAAGAACAAAAGTTTTAGAAGCAAGGGTGCTAATTAGAGACACTCGTGTATTCGTCTAGAACAGTGGTTCTCAAATAAAGGTTTAATATTTGTCATTGTAGAAAAATTTGTTAAGGGTTTTATTATGTTAAATTGTTTATATATCGTATAAAATCATTGTGTAATTACAAATATTTGTAATTTATTGTACAAATTGAAAAATGTTCATATATTTGTCTCATGTTTAGGACAATAATTATATTTAACAGAAAAAAAAAATATAACCCATATATATGATTTAAAAATAAAAAAAATAATAATAATTAATAGTTTACATTAAAATATGTAAATTATGTACAATTTTTGTTGTTGTTATAATTGTTAGATAACAATTGGATTATTTTCTTTTTTATTAGCTATAAAATTAAATTATAAATTCAAATTATATATATATATATATATATATAAATTAAAAATAAAATAAAATTAAAATTAAATATTAAAATAATATTATTTTAATATTCAATAATAAATATATTAAAATAATTTTATAATATTATAAAATATTATAATAGTTAAAATAAAATTAAAAATTAAAATAATATAATTAATATAAAAATAAATATATATTAATATTAATATATAACTTATAATAATATATATATATGTAAAATCAGAGTAAATATCGATTAAAATAAAATTCTAATAATTCTGTGCAATATTTCATGACATCGTTTCAAGAAAAAAGAAAAGTACAAACACCAAGAAAAGGTGGAAATATTTTTAAATAATTCGAATCAGCAAAGTGTCAACAAGAAAATAAGGTTGATTAATAATGACTTTAATTTATCACTTGAAGGAGAAACAAGATGACGTAAAACAAACAAATGATGTGATACTAGAAAAAAAAAAGGGTGGCAAATTAAGCTACAGTAACGCTTATAAACACAATGCAGAATAAGAAGCAGAAAAAAATTGTTCAATATTTGTTTCATTATAATTCCTCTCGTATTTTATCTCAATTTCTTTGATTTATTAAACTTTAATATCTTTCTTATTGAATTAATTAATCTTGTGACGTCTTTATGTTTGATCAAATAATATTTATATTCATTTATACATTTACACAACACATTTTTTATATATATAAATGATTTCAATTCATATTGATAAGCTTATTAGTTTTTTTTTTTTTTATCAATCTTACGTCAACAACAACATAAACTAATAAACTTCATCATTTTTTATTTCATTTTTAAAATTATTTCTTCCTCAAATATTTGTCATTATCAAATATATTCAATTTAATAAATTTAATGTATTATTTTTATTTTTATTATTTATTATAATAAATTTAATTTATTTTTTTTATTTATTATTTTTATATATAGTATTATTTAATATAATAAATTTAGTGTATTATTTTTATTTATTATGTAATATAATAAAATTAATGTGTATTATTTTTATATATAGTATTATTTAATATAATAAATTTAATGTATTATTTTTATTTATTATTTAATACAATAAAATTAATGTGTATTATTTTTATCTAATTATTCAATATAATAAATTTAATGTATTATTTTGATTAATCATTTAATATAAATCAATTCATTATATTAAAACATATTTTAATAATTTACTTTTCATTCTTCTTTATAAAGTTTTATGGGGGTTTAAATTTACACGTTTTTTTTTTCTTTTTTGTATTCTACATAAAAAGAAAGACAGTAAAAAAAAAATGAAATTCACACTGGACTGAAATAATTGTCGTAAATCAAGAGACGGGGTTTATACTTAAGTGTTACATATATGCCAGCTAGCTTGGGTAACATTAATAATAATAATAATAACAATAATAATAACCACTTACAATACTCAGATCCATGCGTTAGCATAATTTGCGCTCGCCACGCAGACGGAGTACATCCTCATTAAGTTGATCAGACTGATGTGAGTTAGCATGCATCGTCTATGAATATATACGAATACATATATATATATATAAATAGAACTTTATGAGTATAAAGTTGGTAATTCGAAAATTAAAATTATAAGAAGTTTGCACAATGCTAAATAATAATTCACTTACGATAAAGATGATTTTTCTTTTTTCTTTTTTCTACGTGTGTCCCCTTTTTTTTACTGATATTAAGCAGAAAAAAAAATATGAATAATTATTAATTAAGAACTTGAAATTTATCGTATTAAAAATTCACCCCTTAGATTCTTCATCTCTTTCTATTTTTCTGTTACATTTGTGTACAATATGATTATCGTTAGATTTATAATTGGATTTGACACCGATACGGCCTCTCA